GGACTGGAATGTTTGGCAGGTCCTCGAAAACCATAGCATGTGTGCCCTTGGATCTTCAGCTTTTGAGCCTCCAAATTGGTTATTCGAGACCATTTGGATCATTGCTGGTTTGATTTCAAATGAGTGGGCTTGACTAGCGGGGAGACCTATGGGATCTTCCTCTACGTACGCCGGGCTCATAGCTTGAAGGATCGTTCGTATGGGATTAGCCGCCATTTCTTCTTCTTCTTCCAAGTGTTGGTTCTCTTCTTCGTGATTTTCTTCCTCCTCTTCTTCTTCTTCTCTTCGCTCTTCGTCGTTGAACTCCAGTTGACGAGGAACTTTGACGGTGTGGCGTCGGAGCAAAAGTTCGGGGTTTCTGGTTCCCGGAAGAATGTTCTCACCGCGAGAACGAGTGTTCATACAATTTTGAAGGTTAGAGGAAGAATTCAAACAACCACCTAATGATAACTAAAAAGGTAATATTCAAGAATATATATATATATATATATATATATATATATATATATATATATATATTGTGTTTTGGAAATATTACCTTTTATTAATATTTATTTATTTATTTGTTGTTTTTTTTTGTTTTTTTTTTAAAAAACCCAAGAGAAGTTCTCTCTTTTTTTTACATATATATGAAAATCGTTTCTATCAACTTTCTCTCAGGCTAACTAAAGAGAAATCTTACTAATAACTTTCTGCGCCGATCCCCGGCAACGGCGCCATTTGGTGAAGAATTTTGATTTAACTCAAAATTCCCGTAGTAGTAAAGGGAACAGACTAGATCTTCAAAAGATCAGTTTTACTCGCTGAATTCAAAAGATCAGTTTTACTCGCTGAATTGAAGAATTTTGATTTAACTCAAAATTCCCTTAGTAAGACTAGCTAGACAAGTTTTACTCGCTGAATTGAAAAGTTTTCAATAAGTCGAATAAGGAAAGAGGATTGAATTTTATCTTTCAGAAATAAAAAGCAGGGATGTAATTATTGGTGAGGTGATGATTCTTTTTAGAGTAAAACACCGGTTACTTTTACTTTAATTTTTTTTACTAGTAAGTAAATATCTTTTCAAATATTTATTTAACAATCAATCCAATGTCTAAAGATCAATTATCAAATTACTGGACTTGACTTAATTAAATCCCAGATTTCTCAAGAAATATAATTTTCAAGAATAGATTTGTCTTCTCTCGATTTACGAATCTCAAGTATAAATTCTCAGTAATAAAAACTAGTAATTTGCCTTGACAATAATATAATTTAACTCAATGATTTTCTCAGAAAATTACCATTACCATTCCAATAATCACATCCCTAATGAACTTAGCTACTCATAATAAAAACCTTCAACACACATGCATCATAAGAAGACATTGTTTTCAAATAAAAGTAGAGAGTTGACAAACTTACGTCAACAAATCTGGAGAACTGGAGGTTCGGGCTACAATTTGCTCCGTGAAAACTCCAAGAAATAATTCTAATCTAGAATATGAAAGTAGCTTTGAAGAACTAGCCTAAAAATGGAGAAATTCGGACTTGAGGGAGGAGAGAGGCGCTGTGCAGCGTGTAAAATCGGAGGGAGGAGTGCTGTATTTATAGGACTGGACGCGAAGCGTCCAACCCCAGCCGTCCAGATCCAAAGCGTCCAAAGTTGGACGCCTTACACGGCCCGTCCATTCGCTGCTCGCCACGTGGCTTTCGTGATGCCCAATCTTTGCCAAGCGTCCAAGGGGAAGCGTCCAACCTGCAAAGCGTCCAAGGCTTGGACGCTTCAGGCCTTCTCCTATGGGCTTTTTCCGCGGCTTGATCCAATTCAGGCCCAATTTCAATTTTTACTTCGCTTCGCAGTTTGTTTCAGCTTCCTCCGATATTCTCATGATAAAATTCTCAGTTAAAAACTTCTTTTTCTTTCAAATATAAACAGAAAAAATCAACAATCAGGACTGAATAAACTTTAAACCAATTATTATTCCTTAAAGAACAAATCAAAGATATTGTTCAGTTTAACATAAAATTATGTACTGCTTACCACTATTTTCGTGCAATAACGCTTAAAATATGTAGAATAAAATAAGAACAAAATGAACTTATCAGGATACGATGTAGAGGAGGAGACGGCCTTCGGGGTTCGCGGAGTGGATGGTGGGGCGGCCCGTGGCGTGCCGGATGAGCTCGGTGATGCCAAGCTCGTTGAGGATAAGGCCCTCGTTGTTGAGCACCCATTCCTCTCCGCCATAGTGGGAGACGTCATCGCCTTGGTAGGGAAGGCTGGCGATGCGCCCAAGCTGCTTAACGGTGAGCTCGATCGGCGTGCTCTTGACAAGGGAGTAGAGCAAGTCGTCCTCACACTGGAGGTTGGAGTAGAAGACCCGAATCAGCGCTGGGTTGATCCCCTTCCGAGCCCAGGAGACGAACGGCCAGAGGCAAGTTTGATGAAGCTGTGTGTTGAGGTCTTCGTAGCCTTGTAGCTCCGGTAGGCGCTCCGGGACGATCCTTGGGAGAGCCACAACCCGTTTAGAGAAGAAGGTGAGGAAACGGGTGTGCTCCTCCTCGGAATCGAACCAAAGGTACGACCCATCGCCAAAGTAGAGGCGCTCCTCAGAGTTTGTTGCCGGTGCCCAAGATTTTGACTTTGATTTCCCGGAGGTGGCAGCCCTGCTCTTGTCTTTGCCCATGGTGATGAAGAAGTCTCAAAAAAATGTAGAGAAGATGAAATATGCAAGAGGAAGGAGGAGAATTGTGTTTGTGTGTGTAAAAGTGAGGAGAGAGGAACCAAATATATAGAAAAGAGGGGTTCCCAACGTTTAGATTTCAAAAATATGGCTGTTGGAGCAATAAATGCAGGTGCTAACGGTTATTTTTTTGAAAAATTCAACGCGAACAGCGATGTTCTAAAGGGGACATCGCTGTTAAGGCAGCGCTATTGTACCTTTTTACAGCGCTGTTCTACGTTAAGTGTTAAAAAACAGGTGCCATATGGACAGCGATGTTGGGTATCCTACAGCGATGTTCTAAAAGTTTCTGAAATTGTGTAAGTGTTTGCACCCATTAGAACAGCGCTGTTGGGTTTCCCTACATCGCTGTTTTACGATAGGAAAAAAATTTTGTACAAATGGCAGCAATGTTGAAAAGGGTGACATCGCTGTTTGAAAAGTTTCTGGTTTTGGTTGAAAACAAGGGGTTTTGGGTAGACAGTGATGTTTAGAAAAGAGACATCGATTTTAAAAAAGTTTTTGGAAAGCAAAGACTGAGAAGACTTCCTATTACGGCGATGTTGGGCTATGATACAGCGCTGTTTGAGCAAGATAGTTGACGGTGTTTCCATCAACAGCGCTGTTGGGTCTCCTAGACATCGCTATTTGCATGGTTCCCCCTGGTTTTGTTGCTTGTTGATTACCTACAAAGTAACACTTTGGTACCTAAAATATTTTTATGGGTCCTTGGAGGTTAATTGGTTTTTATTATCCACACACACACACTGAATGTTTATTTCCACACACACACACACGATTTGATGATTATTTAGGGGTTACCTTGGCCAACCCGTAGTCCCGTGGATGGTCGGTTGCAATCTACCTAAACGGAGTGCCGATATCTCGGTGTGGTCTGTGTTGGTTCCGGTAACGGAATGTGGACTTTCTTCTTTTCGTCAAAGTAGAAGAAATAATACGGTTTCTTTTGTGCATTTTCCTGTGGAGATTGCCTATGATACGAATATCCTTTTCTAAAGGATTTCTTTTCGTTAGCACCAAAAATGTTGTGTGTTTCATTACAGGTGAAGTGCCTATGTCGGGTAAAACACACGGGAGCTATATGTCCTACCCTATTGCAATAATGGCATACTACGTTTGGGTTGAACATATGCCTAGGTTGATAATAGCTAGGGGGGCTAACCATGTTTGTCCTATTTTGAGAAAAGGATGATTTATGCATGTCTTCAAAAGGATCATTTCTAGGTGTTCTCATATTATTTCTTCTATTTTGAGAAAAATTATTATTATGCACAAAATCATTTTTCTTAGGTTGTACGTCTACCATGAACATTTTCATTCCTAGGTTCTTAGATTGACTAGGTTTTCTGTTATTCTGATTTTTAAGTTTCTTACGTTGAACCTTAGGTGGTTGTCTAGGTGATTGCTCAACGTTTTCTTTATCCTTAGCTCCATTTTTATTAAAGCCTATTCCTTGTTTAGAAAAATGCATGGTGTCAAGGAGTAAATTAAGATCTCTGTGCGAAGTATTAAATTTCTTAACCGTACTCTCAAGTTTAGTGACTTGTTCCTTTAAAGCTTTACAATATTCACATTTTTTTGAGGAACTTTCCGGTTTGTCGGCGCTCATTTTGCCATAAAATTTATTTTCTTGTTTCAACTTCTCATTATCTTTTTCTAGTTTTTCAAAATCATTTTCAAGGGTGGAGAGGCGTTTCTTTAACGATTTGTTGATTTTAGAAGCGCTAACAAATTCATCATAAAGTTCGTGAAGTGCTTCTTGCATTTCTTCAAAGGAAGAGTCGGAAGAAATGGTACATACCTCTTGTACATCGTCGGTTTGGTCTTCGTGTGCCATGAGACAGAGGTTGGCAGCTGTTGAATATAAGTGAGCCCTAGAGGCCAACTTATGATTCCATATCTATATTATATCAAGAACAATAGGCCCTAAAGATTGTTTAAGTCGTCTCGTGAGATTTAAACATAGCTTTAGTCCATAGAGTAGGCACTCTAGTAATATATATGAGAACTACGACGTTCTAATTATGAGGCTGTTACAAAGATAGAGGCTACATCTAAAATATCCTTAGTCGAATATTATGACAATACAGACATCATAATATATCAAGACTAATACGTATGAGATGAGATAGCTGCGTCTCATAGGCTATTCTATTTCACAATAGACTTAGATATGCATCCGTTGGTATAACCTATACAACGACCTAACTGGGCGATACTCTTATTATATACCCAAACTCAATTTCACAATTATAATAAGAGTACGCTGGTAATCATATTGATAGGAATGACTTGAAGTCATTACATTCTTTGGTAAGTTGAGTTGTATACTTTGAGGCATGATTTATGTCATCTGAAATATTGGTGGATGTACAGTTATGTTTTGGGTATGCAATGAAACTTAAGCGAAGATGTGAATGACGTAGATAGAATTTATCCCTTCTTTGATGGAGTATAATATCTTAGGGCCCACTGTTTGATGTGACTTGGGAAGTGCATGGCCATGCCCAAATAAATATGTTATTTGAATCCCACAAGTCAATCGAAGAATCAGTAAACCATCGATTTAAGTTTAACAAGGTGACACACCCCATACCTTGTGTTAAATCAAGATATTAGTGATAAAGGGATAAGGGTTATACAAATAGGATGTGTCGTTGAAGGAATTGTTCCAAGAGCTTTAATCTATAATTTGGGGGTGATAATGTGTTGCTAGATACCACTTATCACTTGTAGTATTATATACTATGGCCAATTTTATAGATGCCTAGAATAGGGTCACACACATAGAACATATGAAAGTGTAGAATATTTAAGTGGAGTAAAGTTGCATTTTATTTATATGTTGTGTATATTATATTGTGTGACAATATGATTAGATACACAAACACGTATATAAATAAATATTTATATTTGGACATTTTAATTATGTGATAATTAAGTTTGTCAAATATATTTAATAATAATAAAGTATATATATATATATATATTCGGATATATATATGTGAATAATAAATTGTTTATTATTTTATTTTATTATTATTAAGGCACTAGATTATATATATATTTATATATTTGATATTTGGACATTTGAATTATATGATAATTAAGTTTGTCAAATATTATTTAAGGAACAAAATATAACATTATATTTATATTTATATGTATGTGCGTATATATATTTATATATGTATCGCCGTATATATATATATATGTAAGTATATATATATATATATTTCGTGTATATGTATATATAATAAATGTTATATTATTTATTTTGTGTTAATTATATGATAATTAAAGTTGACAAAATAAATTGGAAGCTTCCTTAAAGTGAGATTCGAAATTTCCTAAGTAGAATAGGAATGTGATTTGATTTCCTTCCTAAACTCTAAAAAGTACATTCCTATTAGGAATAGGAATGGGGATTATACTCCTTATAAATAGGAGATCATCCCACCCCTTTTGAGACCTTGGAATTTCGGCCCTAGCACCTTTTAAGAGAGAAAAATTTGTTTTGTTCTCTTAAATACTTTACACCAAATATTTTATATTTTAGAAATATTCTAGAGTAAAATTACTAGCATAATTTTCTCTAGAACGCTCTTCATTGTTGGTGTGTCTCAACTGGAAGTCATATACTTTTGTGGCTAGCTCTTGGATCAATCCATCAACCTACACATATCTTTGCTTGCTCGCCAAGAAAGATATATTTCTCAACAATAACTTATAATAATCATAAGAGGTCCTGTGTCGATCTACGTTTGGACCCAAAATTTTTATATTTCCGCTGCCCTATCCAAGCGTAGAACCCAACAGCAGCTTCATCCTCGTCTTGGTCGGTTGATTCGTCGCCGGAGTCGCCACCCTAAGAGATATATGCCCTTTTCCTTTTGAAGTGCCGAGCATTCCTTCCACTTTTCGGGCATTTGTTCTTGATGTGCCCGGCTTTTCCACATCCATAGCACACAGGGCCATCCTCAACCTTTTCTTTCTTCCTTAGAAGTTTACAAAACTTCTTCATGACAAGCTTGACTTCATCATCGCTGCTTGAATCATCCATCATTAATTCTTTGACGGCTTTTAATGATATCCCTTTCCTTTGGTCATTTAAAGACGGGTTAAGAGTAGTAGATTCATAGGTTTTTAGATTACCTCTTAGACCGTCGATGGTGACATTTAATGTGCCGATTGATTCATAGATGGCATCGGCCTTGGATCGCCATTCGGATGTCAAGCTCCGTAAGATCTTTCGCACAAGATCCCTATCGGTGTACGTCTTCTTTAATGCATAAAGATCGTTGACTATCTTGGAAAAATGGTTGAACATATTGTCGATCTTCTCGTGCTCCTTCATCCTGAACATCTCATACTCTTGGGTGAGGAAGTCGATCTTGGCTTCACGTACTTGGTCTGTTCCTTCGTACGTCACCTCGAGCTTATCCCACATCTCCTTGGCGGTTGAGCAGCAGGAGATCTTGCGGTAGTCATCGGGATTGACCGCGCAGTAGAGCATGTTAATCGCCTTTGCATAGTTTTCTACTTTCTTGATGTCTTCGGCATCAAATTCGTCTTCGGTCTTGGGGATCAACTTATCTCTGTTAGAATAAGTGACCAACGCTAGAGGGGGGGTGAATAGCGTTTGATCGTAGGAATTGCAGGAATAAAAAATTAAGAACGTGAAAAGTAAAGAGCGTAGAAAGCGTAAAGGGAGCACACCAAGATTTATACTCGTTCACCACAATGTGTGGCTAATCCAGTCTCCCGAGAGACTCTCTCGAGCTACACTACTTCCGTTAAGCTTACGGGTGCTTAACAAACCGTTACAACCTGAGAACTCGAGTCCCACGAGCCTCAACAACACTTGCTCGGAGATACCACACTCCAAGACTTCAACCCGAAGGAAAATACCTTTCCTTCGTACAACCAAGGGAAACAAGCTTCCCTTAATGTGTATACAACACTAAGAACACTCAAGAACAAGACTCTCCTTAAGAGTGGATATTGAGTAAAATATATACGCTCAAGAACAACTCAAACTTCACACGAATTGGCTCTAAAAGCTATTAAAAATGTTGTTTGAATGAAATGATAATATGAATATTGTGAAGTGAATTGATGAGAAAAGCAGACCCAAACACCCC